AGACAATAAAGTTATTCTATCATTCTAAAGACTTTAAGGTTTCTGTGGTTATTGGACCATTCAGTGAGAGGTCGCCAATGGAACTCTCCGCTGCAGTGCAGACCAATCACTGGGCGGGGGGCCTCGACACCAGTTGGGGCCTCAGCGCCCCGTGAAAGGGGAAAGCGCAAAGATCTCTAGGATGCCTCCAAACCTCCTTAATGCTGTTGTCTCGATTTAGCACATCTAGAACTGACATTTTAAACTGACATTTTAAATAGGATTCCTTTACATTTGGCTTTTGTGCAAATGTGATTTTGTTTCAGAAGAAACTGCAAAGCTTGAAACAATTTCCATGGATGGCTAAGGTAGTGAATAATCATATCCAGTCATACCCAGGCAGCTTTAATCATGAATTTTAAGCTTGTGTCTTATGTTTTAATCTTTGTTCTGGGTATTTTAATATGCATTTTATAGAAATATGTTTTAATATGTGTACTTTATATAATATTTTGGATTATTGTGTTTTTTCAGCTATGTTATAACAGGTCTTGAGCCACAAGGAGAGACTGGTAAGAAATACAATTATTAATACTACCATCATCATCCTCATCCATGAAAACGACACCCGCAAATACGGAAGGACAGCTGTGTTGAAATCCTGGATTCAGATGGGCAACCATGAACATCAAAGTTGATGAGGAAAGAAACCAAAATATTTCCCCAAAAAGCAGGAGCCCTCTTTCTAAGAGGAAGGGCAAGGATGGTCACCACGAAAGTCGGATCTTTTGAACTGCAAAAAACTATTTATTGGGCGGCCATGGCAATAACGACAGGCAAGCACACAGGAGCGCAACCCAAGGGCTTGTCGCCACCCCCGAGGGGGCTGCAGAGCTTTCATCACTTTGGTAGTGAATGGAATACACATGCTCATTGGTTCCCAAAGACGAGTCTTTTCATTGGTCTAAGCTAGCTATACAGTTGTTCATTGGTTGTCTATGATTTTGATTGACATTATAGCACGCGTGGGATCCTAACAATGGCACAACTATAACACAACTCTAGCCTATTGTTCTCTGGCCACGACTGTCTCAATGAACCCATCTCCTCGGTTAGTCTGTTGCAAAGACGGCTTCAGAGCGACTGGGAAACCTGGGGGTTCGAACCAGCCACCCGCGAGCCGGTTTGGTCCAGATGGACTGTTATCCTTGAATAGTAACTTCTTCTCAGGAGTACTGATTTCTCAAACAAGCAGCATCTTCTGTAAACACAGGCCTGCTGCAGAAATAGGCCAATGTGGCAGTAAATCAGGACATATGGGCATTGGGAGCACCTCTGAAAATTCCCTTTCTAAAACCACGTCCCCTCTAAAGTCATACATGAAAAAGCAATAGAGGATGATCAAAACATGGAATAGACGCAACAAATGAAGCATAAAAATCAGACCCAGAGCCATGCGACTGACCTATAGGTGGAAAATGATGTCCGAAAGGACCTTTGATGATGTATTAAATCACAGCTCTGCCTGCCTTTCCGGTCTCCGATATTTTGACCCTTCAAAAGCCTTTTTCACAAACACCTTTTTTTAATAAGAAAAGAAACATAGTAATTTTATAATATACTAGCCGTCCCCTGCCACACGTTGCTGTGGCCCACATGGGGGTTCTGTGTGGAAGGTTTGGCCCAATTCTATCGTTGGTGAGGTTCAGAATGCTCTGTGATTGTAGGTGAACTATAAATCCCAGCAACTACAACTCCCAAATGTCAAGATTCTATTTTTCCCAAACTCTGACCAGTGTTCACATTTGGGCATATTGAGTATTTGTGTAGAGTTTGGTCCAGATCCATCATTGTTGGAGTCACATCAAGCTCTCTGGATGTAGGTGAACTACAACTCCAAAACTCAAGGTCAATGCCCACCAAACTCTTCCAGTATTTTCTTTTGGTCATGGGAGTTCTGTGTGCCAAGTTTGGCCCAATTCTATCGTTGGTGGGGTTCAGAATGCTCTGTGATTGTAGGTGAACTATAAATCCCAGCAACTACAACTCCTAAATGTCAAGATTCTATTTTCCCCAAACTCCACCAGTGTTCACATTTGGGCATATTGAGTATTCGTGTAGAGTTTGGTCCAGATCCATCATTGTTTGAGTCCACAGTGATCTCTGGATGTAGGTGAACTACAACTCCAAAACCAAAGGACACTGCCCACCAAACCCTTCCAGTATTTTCTGTTGGTCATGGGAGTTCTGTGTGCCAAGTTTGGTTCAATTCCATCGTTGGTGGGGTTCAGAATGCTCTTTGATTGTAGGTGAACTATAAACCCCAGCAACTACAACTCCCAAATGACAAAATCATAATTTTTTGAGTGCTGGTCACTCCTTATGTTGTGAGATGTTTTGTTGTCAAATTTGGTGTGATTTCGTTCATTGGTCCTTTTGTTTTTAAGGTACTCATTACGCACAGAGCATTTTTATATATATAGATAATGCTAAAAACTATACAGCTCACTAGAACTATACAGCTCACTTAGTGGCTACCACAGCTACAAAAACAAATCAGACATTCCTATATAGATACCCAAATTACGCTGACAAATAACAACAACAACAACAATAAAAACAACAATACTTTATTTATATCTCCCCTGGGAGACTCAGGGCAGTTTCCAAATTGTAAAAACACAAAACCATACAGAGTAAGCAAAGCAAAGCAAAACAAACCAAAAAAACCCCCAGAAGAATACATAAGCATAAAACAGTCAAACAACACATGTACAATAAAACCAATCGACCTTATTCTTCGTGCCAGGATTAACTATTAGGGCCGGACTTTCAGAAAGGACCTAGGCAGTTTGAGGTGGCTGGGCCAGAGGTCGTGCCAAGTAAGCCACGGGGGGCCAAAGAAATGGGTTTTTTTTCATGTCAGGAGCAACTTGAGAAACTGCAAGTTGCTTCTGGTGTGAGAGAATTGGCCGTCTGCAAGGACATTGCCCAGGGGACGCCCAGATGATTTGATGTTTTTATCATCCTTGTGGGAGGCTTCTCTCATGTCCCCCGCAGAGGAGCTGGAGCTGATAGAGGGAGCTCATCCGCGCTCTCCCCGGATTTGAACCTGCAACCTGTCGGTCTTCAGTCCTGCGGGCACAAGGGTTTAACCCACTGTGCCACTGAGGGCTCCTAAGGAAGTGGGTAACGAGTGCAGTAACTAGACCTCAACAGTAGTAGCAATGGGGCCTGCCGATGCTCATTTCCTGAGCCAATTAAGGAACTGACCAGGGTAATAGGTAGGGGTGAAGGACCAGATCCTAAGTAGTGGGCAGAGGGCTGGAGCTTGTGCTCATCGTTCTCGAAGGCCTGGTGAAACCACCAAGTCTTCAAGCTCTTACGAAAAGAGGAGAGGGGTGGGGCCTGTCTTATTTCCCTGGGGAGAGCGTTCCAGAGGAGGGGGGCTACCACCGAGAAGACCCTCTCCCTCATCTCCAACAACCGCACTGATGATGGTGGTGGCAACGAGAAGAGGGCCTCCCTGGTAGATCTTAAGAGTTCACGCTGGTTCATAGAGGGAGATGCGATCACGAAGATAGGTGGGCCATCTTCCAGGGCAGCCCCACGTAGAATGCACTGCAGTAGTCCAATCTGGATGTAACCAAGGCATGGACCACCCTGGCCAAGTCAAACTTCACAAGGTATGATTGCAGCTGGCGCACAAGTTTAAGCTGTGCAGAGGTCCTCCTGGCCACCGCTGGCACCTGAGCATCAAGAGACAGCATTGAGTCCAGGAGGACCCCAAGCGACGGATCTGCACCCTCAGGGGGAGTGTTGCCCCGCCAAGCACAGATTGCCAACCCATGCCCCAGTCAGCCCCACCACTCACCAGGAGGACCGCTGTCTTGCCTGGATTAAGCTTCAACCTGTTAGCTCTCATCCAGCTGCCAGGCACTGGTTCAAGGTCCCGGCAGCTTCCTTGGTATTTGGTGGAAAGGAGTGGTGGAGTTGAGTGTATATAATATTATTGTATTATATTATATTATATTGTATTATATTATATTATATTCCATATACTTGGTTGTTTTAACCTCTGGTTTCCTAGTTAAACAGAATTACATTGTTGCGAAAGGATGATGCATGCCTAAAAAGCTTTACCAACATAAAAACTTTGTTGGAGAGTCCTTCTGGGGTCAAATTCAGACGGTTCCCTTCAATCTGAATTCTATGTTTCTTTCCACAAGACATTTATTTAGGATATTTCTATCCCACCTTTCTCCACAAACAGAAAACAAAGATTAAAATCCTTCAGCCAGAAGAACAAAACAACCATGATGACACAACAATCCACAAAATCCCACAATTCAGCTAAGACCATTCCCTCCTCCTCCCCCAAGGATCCCTCTTCCACCCTGGTCATGAAATCCCCAACTCCTGCCAAGGCTCAATGGCTCTAAAAGGCATGTGTTTATAAGGCTTATCCCCAGTGAGTTCCTTGATGTGAATGTAAATGTGAACTACGAATGAAGCTCTGTCCACACTCCAGGCACGTATAGGGTTTCTCCCCAGTGTGAGTCCTTTGATGTGAACGCAGATGGGAACTCTGAGTGAAGCTCTGCCCACACTCGGGGCATGTGTAGGGTTTCTCTCCAGTGTGAATCCTCTGATGTTTACGTAGACTTCCGCTGTGATTGAATCTCTTTCCACACTCCAGGCATGTATAGGGTTTCTCCCCAGTGTGAGTCCTTTCATGTGCCCATAAACCAGAATTATGAGTGAAACTCTGTCCACACTCCAGGCACGTATAGGGTTTCTCCCCAGTGTGAGTCCTTTGATGTGAACGCAGACTTCCACTCTCGGTGAAGCTCTTTCCACACTCAAGGCATTCGCAAGGCTTTTGCCCAGTGTGAGTCCTTTGATGTGAACGTAGACTTGAACTGTGAGTGAAACTCCTGCCACACTCCAGGCACGTATAGGGCTTCACGCCAGAATGGGTCCTTTGATGTGAACCTAGATCGTCACTCCGAGCAAAGCTCTTTCCACACTCCAGGCATTTGTAGGGTTTCTCCCCAGTGTGGATCCTTTGATGCCTATGTAGATGTCCACTCTGAATGAAGCTCTTTCCACATTCTAGGCAAGTGTAGGGTTTCTCTCCAGTGTGCGTCCTTTGATGTAAACGTAGATCCGAACTCTGAGTGAAGCTCTGCACGCACTCCAGGCATTTGTAAGGTTTCCCCCCAGTGTGAGTCCTTTGATGTGTATGTCGATGTCTCTCCTGAGTGAAGCTCTGCCCACACTCCAGGCATAGGCACGGTTCCTCCCCTGAGTGCATCCTTTGACGTAAATGTAAGCATCCACTGCCAGGGAAGCTTTTCCCACATTCCAGGCACTGACAGGACTCCCTCCCAGTGCGAGTCCTCTTATGTCGCCGCAGATGATCCCTCTACGTGGAACTCTTACCACACTCCAGGCATCTAGATGCTTTCTCCTCCATGTCAACCATGACACGGGAGTTTAATTGCAAGACAGTTACTTGACTCTTCTTTTTTTCTTTGCTTATCTGTAAACGAGGTCCAGAATTCAGCAAGATCGTCACCTTGAGGGGATTTCTTCTTCTTCTTCTTCCTATATTACCAAAGTGTCTCCACTTCACCCAAGAGGTTGGTCCTCATAGAACCCTCCTTTCCCTGGTCAAGAAAGAAGCAAAAGATAAAGAATGAAAACCAGAAACCTTCTTTACCTCCAGGATTTCCTCCCTTTCCCTTCATGGGTCATGTTGAAAATGGAAATACCAAGAAACGTAGACATCCGGGTCTCAAGCGCACACACAGACGCCAACAAAGCCACCGCTGATTCTTTAAAAAGATGGCAATTAATCCAGAAAGAAAGAAGGAAAGGGAGAGAGGAAGAAAGAAGAGAATGAATGAATGGCGGAAGAAAGGGGAGCCAATTGTGATTGACAGAAGCCAGCCAGGCAGAAAGGAACGGTTCCTGCCGATATTCAAGGGCGTCATTTGCTGCGTAATGATCAGGATGTGCTAAAGGCTGAGGGACACCAAGAGGGGGGGGGGGGCTTGTGTGGGGCCTGGTGGCGCTGCTCTTTCCTCCGCTGCTTCCTGCCTCACCAGAGCTGCAACTAGCAAGCAGGGAAGCGCTTCCGGGAGTTCGAGTTGGTGCTCCTGAAATACCTGCAGTCGAGGAGCGTAAGATAGGAACGCAGGCAGGACCCGGGGAGGGAGGGAGGGAGGGAGGGAGGGAGGGGCACTCGGAGAGTTTCCCACCACTTTGTGGCCCCCTCTCCTTGGTTACACTCGCTTACAGACTGACCAAGCACACCTCCCTCCCCCCCTCCCCGCACAGGCCACTCTCGTCACCTTGGCCGCTGGAAGAGGGGCCGCGTGTGCCCAAGGAAACGTGTCTGGGCCCCAGGGCGGGAGGTGCGACCAGAGCGGGCTCCCCTTGCTTGCGGCCCAGCTCTCGCCTCCCTGTTTAGAGAGAGAGAGAGAGAGAGAGAGAGAGAAAGGCAGGCAGAATCAAAGAAAAAAAGAAGGAAGGAAGGAAGGAAAGGCAGAAGGAGAGAGGCAGGCAGGCAGGCAGGCAGGCAGGAGGCTTGTTGCCCAGGCCCTTTTCCCCGTGCCCCTATACTATAGTGTAATAGTAACAACACTATAAAACAGTATAGAACCGTATAAACAATATAAAAAGAATTGCTAGTAGTCAACGCAGATTCATCAAAAACAAGTAGACTCCCAGAATCCTGGAGTTGGAAGAGACCTGGTGGCCCATCATCCAGTCCAACCCCTTTCAGCCAAGAAGCAGGGCAATCGTATTCAAAGCAACCCCAACAGATGGCCATCCAGCCTCTGCTTAAAAGCCTCCATAGAAGGAGCCTCCACCACACTCCCTCCGGGGGCAGAGAGTTCCACTGCTGAACAGCTCTCACAAAGTCCTTCCTAATGTTCAGCTGGGATCTCCCTTCCTGTAGTTTGAAGCCATTGCTTCATGGCATCCTGGTCTCCAGGGAAGCAGGAAGGAAGCTTTCGGAGGATGTTTCCCTTGGCCTTCCTCCGTTATTGACAAAGCATCTACCCTGCAGAATTAATGCAGCTTGAGACAATTTTAACGGCCATGCCTCAATGCTAGGGAATCATGGGAGTTGTAGTTTTACAAGGCCTTCCTTGCCAAACAGTGTTGGGGATCCCATAGCACCGCATTAATTCCACAGTGCGGATGCTCCCTTCTGTCATGGCACCCACGTTTTCATAGATCCCCAAGAGAGGGAATTTCCTCCTCTATTTTCTGCTTTCAACAGAAGGATTGGGACTGTTTCATTATCTTTAGTTGAAAATGGTTGGTTGTGACAGAAGGTTGAACAGCTGTGTCTTTACTTATGGTTTTAGTAACAACAACAACAACAACAACAACAACAACAACAACAACAACAACAACAACAACAACAGTATTCTTGCACCCTGCCTCCATCTCCCCGAAGGGACTCAGGGCGGCTGACACACGGCACAGAGTGCCTAAAAGGGAGCATAAAAGAAAACACAATGTAGGCGGGCGGGGGGGGGGGCTCAGCAGCGGGAGAGAAGCCCCCCCCCCCCCCCTGTCTCCTCCCCCCTCCCCCCTCCCTCCCCCCTCCCTCTCCCCTCCTGGCCCCAAAGCCCCCCTCCCTCCTCCTCCTCCCCCCAGGATTCCAGCTGGGCCTTCGCAGGAAGAAAGAGAAAGGGGGGGAAGGAGGGAAAGGAAGCCCCCTCCCCCGCAGAAGGGGGAAGGGCCCTCCTTGGCGGCCACGGAGGGAGTGCTTCCTCCGGAGAAGGGCGACACCTGTATTTGTGCCCCCCCCCGTTCCCCTCCCCCCTTCTCCTCCTCACCTGGGACTCCCGTGGGAACTTCGCAGGAAGGAGAGAGAGAGGGGGGGGGGAGGCGGGCCTGGGCAAGAAAGGAGAAGGAAGGGAGGGAGGGAGGGGGGAGGGAGGAACGAGGCGGGGGGCCCGAGCCCGCCCTTCTGTCTTTGGGGGGGGGAGGGGGGGAGAGAGAGAGCCGCTCCCTTCTCTTCAGGCTGTGGAGGGAGGGGGGGGGGGGGGGGGGGAAGGGGGGGGGCGAAGGGAGGGGATGGGCGTCCCCGCCCCTGGCCCCGCCCCTCCCCCCAGCGGAAGGAGGTCCGCCCATCAGGAGGAGGGAGGGGGCGCTGGCCGTCGTGACTGGCTTGGCTTGGCTTCCCTGGCTCCCTCCCGGGTCTGCTCTCTCTCTGTGTCTCTCTCTCTGGCGCCCTCCGGTGGCGAATCCCCCGCCTTGCTCTCCGTGGACGGGAGGGAGCCCCCCCCAATCCTTGGGCTTCGCGGACTCCTGATGGTAACCACCAGGCCTCGCTCCTCTGGCCTTGTTCCTGGGCGTGCCTGTGTCCGTGGGAATCCTCGGGGGAGAGGCAGGCCCCGCCCCCGCCCCCGCCTGCCTGCCTGCCTGCCTGCCTTGAAGGGGGTCCCGCCCCCCAGGCCCTCCCCCCTCCCCCCGAGGCAGAGGACGAACCCCTTCCCCCCCCCCGAGGCGGGACTGGGGAGGAGGAGTCCCCGCGGGGCGTGGGGGGGGGCGGCAGGCTGAGCCACTTGGAGAGGGGGGTGCCTTCGGTTTCAGTGTGTATTGGGGAGCATTCCCTCCTCCTCCATCAGCGTGGAATCACGGGTTTGTGTTTAATCCAAGCTCTCCCCTTTCCATTTCCGTCTCCTTTTCCCTTGGGGGTCAATTGTTTCCTGATTGTATCGATTGTATCGATTTCCTGCCCTTGCCTGTTGCTGCCCTCGCCCCCCGGGGGTGGGAGAGGGAGGGAGGGGGGCGCGAGGGGGGGCATGGCACAGTTCAATGCCTCACATGTGCAGGAAAGCACAACCACAGCGATGGCAGTAGACTAAAACCATTAGCATTGCAAAAGTAGGAAACAGCATCCACACACAAGGCGTAAAACACTTCGGCCGTGCACAACCCCTTGGTTTATATCTTGCTTTATACTTAGGTATTGTTGCCTACCTCTGTGTGTGTGTGTGTGTGTGTGTGTGTGGCACATGGGGTGCTTCTGTGCCCCCCCCCCCCAGTCCCTTTGGGGAGATGGTGGGTACAAATAAACATCATCCTCATCCTCATCATTAATTTCCATATTTCCATGTTTCTGTCATTCACCGAATGCCTTCTTAAATAATCAGGTCTTCAAGGAGCCCCCGGTGGGTGGCGCAGTGGGTTCAACCCCCCCCCCCCCCAATGCGGGCAGGACTGAAGACCAGCAGGTCACAGGTTCGAATCCGGGGAGAGGCGGATGAGTTCTGTGGTCCTTGTACCTTGCTGCAGGGAGCAACCCGGCTTCTGCCTGCGGGACTCCTTGGAGCTTCCAAGCCGTCTTCAAAGGCAACCTCGTGTGTTTCTTTTGTTTATTGTTTATTATTATTACTAGTTTTTTTATTACGTGATGATGTATTTGGGCTCGGCCTCATGTAAGCCGCACTGAGTCCCTTGGGGAGATGGAAGTAGGGGAAAAAAATAAAGTATTATTATTATTATTATTATTATTATTATCATTATTATTATTATTATGGTGATGGCATTTCTTATTATTATTCTTTCTTATTTTCTTTCTTTCTTTCTTGTTCTTTTCCGTTCCTATTTCTGCCCTCGTTCCTTTTGTTCCAAATATTGGTTTCTCTGGTTTTAAACTATTTTTCTCTTTTTGCCTTCAGTTGCCTTTGCAGAAATATTATTCTATGGAATTATGTATTTTTGGAGTTTGAAGGAAGGAAGCCCGCGGCCCCAGAGGTGACGTCAAGGTAAAGTGCTTTTGACCTAAAGTTCGTAATTTTTGTTGTTAATTCTTGACACTTGTCGCATTGTCGTATTTTGTGTTTTATATTGATATTAGATATTTATTTATTTATTTAATATCAAATAAAAATACAAAATATTCCGCTTTCACTTTTAGAAATACTTAATAAAGAAATCTGTAATGAAGAAATACAATTAAAAAATTCCAAGATGAACTGAGGAAAGTAAAATTTTAAAGAGAGGAAAATATTAGTATAGAATTCTTAAAATATTCATAAAAATAGAAATATTCACATATTCATAAAAAATCCAAAATTATCTGCAAAAACATTCATAGATGTTTATGTAAAAGTCTGCAGAAATAATCAGAAATAAGGGCCATGATAATAATGGAACTAATAGCAAAGAATGGGATTCTGTCTCAGCCTCAAGCAAGTGTTTGCGGGCGGTTTTCCATTTCCAGAAGGCTTTCAAAGGTTTTCAAGCCAATGGAGGAAGACGGAAGGGATTCCTGACTTTGACACAAAGGAAGGAAGGAAGGAAGGAGGAAAGAAGGAGGAAACACTGCATGTGGCCGGGTTTGGAGACTAGAAAACTATAACTTATCTATATAAATAAAAATGTAATGTTTGTTTGTGGGATTAACAGAACTCAAAAACCACTGGGGGAATTGACACCAAATTTGGACACAAGACACCTCTCAGGCCAACGAGTGACCATCACTCATAAAAACACTGAAAAACACAGCAGAAGGGAATTAAAAAGCCCCCAATGTTAAATGACGAAAAGCTAAATGACAGTACTGAAAAAAGGGAAGAAAGAGGGAAGGAAGGGGAGAAAAGAAAGAAAGAAAGAAAAGAAAGAAAGAAAAGAGAAGAAGGAAGGGAGGAAGGAGAAAGAGGAGAGAAGGAAGAAAGGAGAGAAATAGGGAGGAAAGAAAAAGGAAGGAAGGAAAGTTAGAGAAGGAAGGAAGGAGAGAAGGAAAGAAAAAAGAGAAAGAAGGAAAGAGGGAGCGAAGGAAGGGGGAAGATGTAGAGAAAGAGGGAGGAGAAGGAAAGGAAGGAAGAAAAGAGACAGCAGAAGAGAAAGAAAAGGGGGAAAAAGAAGAGAAGAAAGAAAAGGAAGAGAGAAGAAAAGGAAGGAAGGAAGAAGGAGAGAAAGAGGGAAAGAAAGAAGAGAAAGGGAGAGAAGAAGGGGAAGAGAGAGAAAGAGGAGTGGAAAGGAAAGAAGGAAAGAGAAAAAGGAAGGATGGAAGAAAAGAAAAGGGAAGGAAGAGAAAGAGGTAAAGAAGGAGAAGAGAGAAAAAAAGAGAAAGGAAGGAAAGAGGAAAGAAGGAAGGAAAGAGGGAGCAAAGGAAAGAAGGAAAGAGAGAAGGAAGAAAAGAGAGTCAGCAGAAGAGAAAGAAATAGGGGGAAGGAAGGAAAGAGATAGAGGGAGGAAGAAGAGAAGAAAAAATGGGAAGGAAGGAGGGAAAGAAGGAGAGAAAGAGGGAAGGTTGGCCACAGCAACATGTGGCGGGTACAGCTAGTACTAAATAATTATAATAACAACTCACCAATGTTATGATATTATAATAATATTACTAGTATTATTGTAATGTCCCCAAAGGCACTCAAGGCAGATCAAAATAATAATGTCAGGGGTATAATAATCATAATATCTCTCTTTCTCTCCATCGCATTATTATGCTGAGAGCCAGGACTTTGGACCATTTAAAGCAAAGAAAGTATGATAAATGGCCAAATACGCCTGGAGAGAAAGAGGTTTGGCTTGAATGCAGTCACGATGCAAACCACGTCCAACCCCGCTTGTAACGGAGCGAGAGACGCACGCACGGCCGTGGTGTGGATTGAAAGGCATGAGATCCAAGTAGGTTTGGCTGCAAGTGAGGCCGGTGTTTGGCCCTCACGCGGCCCTCTGCTTCGCCCTCTTCAATCCCGACACACCCTGTTTCTTGAGGCTGTTCAGCCCACGAGGGGCCATCAGGGCTTCAAGACTGCGACTGGTCATTCTTCCCATTCCTGCCAAGCCACCCTCTTCCTGCTACAAACGTGCCTGGAAACGGGATTTGCCTCCGAATGGCACGCCTGCCTGCCTGCCTCTCTTGGGATCAATCCCTGAACGGCTTTCCAGTCTGCCCTCTGAGGATTTTTACATATTTAATGCCATTAATATTTCATTCTATGTCAATTGTTATGTATTTTGAGGTTTTAAATTGTTTTTCATTTGCCAAATTCTGCCTCTTTGGCACAAATAGAAAGCTACCTATAAATAATAATACTTATTTTTTGTCCTTGTTGGCACTGAAATTATGGCGTGCCTTATATTATGGCTCTATTTCTATCCTTTTGTCTCTAAAAAGAGACCCATCACCTCCGGGAGAGAGAGAGAGAGAGAGAGAGAGAGAGAGAGGGGTGGGGGGGGGGGGGAAGGCGGCCTGAAGGGCCTCTGATGCCGCTGAGCATTCAATAGGCTTCTCCTTATGTTTCAATCGTGTTGAAGCTTTCCGAAGCTCTAGCTCTAGAAAAAAAAATTAACTGCTTTGTTTGAGAGGCGGGGCTTCCTGAGTTTAAAAATTAACTGCTTTGTTTGAGAGGCGGGGCTTCCTGGTTATCCTATATAAACCAGTGTCTGAACCCAAGGGGCAGCTGGGCTTTCCACAGAAGTTGAGGAAGCAGGAACCCATTTTGTTTCCTTCTGCTTCAGGATAAGCTTTGTTTAAATTTAACTGCTTTCAGCGCTGCTTTTTTTGAGTGAACTCGTACACTCAGTAACCTATACTTTCACCCCTGCATACAGACAACATCAAACACACACCAAGAGGAGGTCATTAGCAACCTCCAGATGGAACAAACACGAAATCTTCCAGTCTCATGCACAAGCTGTGGCATGTTCAGCTTTTTCACACTACCATTACTCAATTACATCTGCCCCAAGTGTAAACAGATCACTCGCATGGAACACAGGATACGACAACTCGAGGACCGTATTAAGACCCTTAAGGACATTCAGGAACTTGAGCTGTTCTTAGACACCACACACCACACTGTCCTAGACACGCAGCCCATATCACACCAACATTACGGGGAGGCTCAAGAGAACAGCACCTCAGATGTGGACAACCCTCAGGCTTGGAGAAATGTCACCCTTAGAAGGACACATAGGACCCGGAAGCCTCCTCAGAATACTTCCGCTCAGCTGCAGTTACACAATAGATTCCAAATTCTCACACAACTATCACCTGACCAAGAAACACAACATATTGGGGAAGACCAGAATGGCTTAGATACTGATCAGTGGCTCATCCTTGATCAGTGTGCAGGGGATAGCCCTGACTGGGACAACACTTCACAACATTCACACTTGCGCAATCGTGCAGGTGTACCATCCCCAACCATAGACCAGGTGCAACAGGAACACATACAGGAGAACCATAGGCTCTTGGACGAATCTCAATGGATTGTCCTTGACGAATGCACCGGGGATGTCGAGGAGGAGGACAACACTTTTCACTTACACAATTCACACCAACAGGATCACTTTTCTGGAGACCTACACACTACATTGCACAAAAGGGGCCCTGTCATTCCTGAAAGTAAACAGGTCTTGGTAGTAGGTGACTCCCTCCTTAGAGGAACGGAAGCTGTCATTTCCAGACAAGATGGGATGGCTCGAGAAATATGCTGCCTACCGGTTACTTCTCTGAATTTCCAGACCAGATGGGATGGCTCGAGAAATATGCTGCCTACCGGGGGCAAAAATACACCATATCACTCAGAGGCTCACCAGGCTCCTCAAGCCCTATCACCGTCCTCCCCTCATGTTGATTCATGTAGGAACCAATGATACTGCAAGGCATACGTTCAAAAGATCACAAATGATTTTCGAGCTCTAGGAGCAAAGCTAAAAGAATGTAATGTACAGGTGGTCTTTTCATCCCTCCTCCCTGTTGTAAGACACGGACCCACAAGAGCCAGAAAAATAGTACAGGTCAATGACTGGCTTAGAAAATGGTGTCAGGAGGAACGCTTTGGCTTCTCGACCATGGCCTGCTTTTCCAGGAGGATGGCCTACTGGCAAGGGATGGGGTGCATCTCACACAAGTAGGAAAACACCTTTTTGCTCACAGACTCGCAAACCTCATTAGGCGCACTTTAAACTAGGCCCACTGGGGGAGGGGGACAACAGCCTTGCAAACACTACTTTACCCACAATGTCAGGGAACTGCCAAAAGGCTAAACCAAGAGTTGCACAAACACAACAAGGACTAAGTAACAAAAGCACAATAATCCCAAATAAACAGCTCAGGGGAAGATCTCAGGGGTTCACATGTCTTTACACTAATGCACAGAGCATGGGAAATAAACAAGACGAACTCCAACTTTTAGCACAACACCACAAATATGATATCATAGGGATCACTGAAACCTGGTGGGATGACTCCTATCGCTGGAATGTAGATATCGAGGGGTATAACCTCTTTCACAGAAACCGAACAAAGGGGAGAGGAGGCGGAGTAGCCTTATATGTCAAGAACTCTTATGCTGCAGAAGAGATTCAAGACAGCAATCTGGGAAACCAGCTTGAAATCATCTGGATAAGAATCAAGGGAACTGGGACTCAAAAAGATGTCGTTGTAGGCGTCTACTACAGACCCCAAGCCAGGAGGAAGAACTTGATGAAGTCTTCTGCCAACAGTTGACCAAACAGGCACAGAGAAGAGATGTAGTAGTCATGGGCGATTTCAACTATCCCGATATTTGCTGGAAAACAAACTCGGCCAAGAGTACAAGGTCCAACAAATTCCTCGCTTGCCTTGCAGACAATTTCATGGTCCAGAAGTTAGAAGAGGCAACAAGGGGATTGGCTACTCCCCTCCTCCCATTTGTTAGGATTGATCTCATCCTAACAAATGCGGAGGACCTGATCGATGCGGTCGAAGTGGTAGGATCCTTAGGGGCAAGTGACCATGTGCTCCTGCAATTTGAGGTACAAAGAAAGGCCG